AGGTCCGTAGCTTTGCACAGGAATTTCTGACCTCACCTCCCACATGTTTGGGCCTAGATATTTAGCTTGTGGCCCATTAAACACCCATGCTCTTGTCTCTGTATGGTCAACAGAAACCCTTAGGACAAAATATCTATGCTAGCTCATTTCCACCCTCACCCCAGAATTGCACTTTCTTGTACTTTTTATTCTTCAAAGTTCTTGTACATCACTCTAGACACAAAGCAAAAATCAAAATAAAGAATTTTTTGAATATTTTATTCAGTATTTTTAAAGTGTTTTAAACCAAAAGAAGTTCATCTTTGCACCTAATCTATTATATTTTCAGAAATAGAAGACCTCATTTCGTTTTTAAAATATTCAAAATATTACCATGATCTGAGTAGGTGTTAAAATAACTAGCCATCCAGATCATGGGCTAAACAATAATGCCTGCCTCCTGTCTGCCCATAGCTACTGTAGAAATGAGCAGGGACAGGGCAGTCCCTTGGCTTATGTGCCTGTTAGTTAATGATGTTCGTCAAGCAGAGAATTCAATACAAGCCAGGTAATAAATACTGACTCAGAAGCACATGCCCTCTAGCAAAGAAGGTCCCAATACATACTGAGACCCACAATAACTGCTTATTCCCATTGGCTTTAAATAAACAGATATCTTGTACCAGCTAGTGCTTTTTGTTTTATTGTAAAGCAATAAAAAAATATGTAATTCCCCAGGGATGACCATAAAATATTTAGTCCTTAAGAACAGTTAGTTCCTGTCCAGTGTTATATGAGTTTTCATGATCAGTCAAGGTTTCTTCTCACATAATAAGCTTAGATATAGTCCCTCAGGGAAAGGAATGCATTACAATTATAACCTTCAATTAACCATCGTATCTTGCTAACAATATTTTCTAGGTCCCCAGGCAAAAGAAAGCACAGCTGCTTAGATTAGTATCCCAATTCTCTGTTTCACTTTCATAAAGGAAACATTCAATATACATAACAATCTTATAAAATTCACGGGGAAACAGCAAAGGAAGTCAAGAAAAGTAGATGGATGCTCAGAGTGTTTTAGTTGCAGAATATTAGAGAAATACAGACTGCATTAACGACATTCTCATGAATTCTTGTAATTTTCTAGACAACTGTAACCCCTTGCAGAGAAGACCTTACATAAGATGGGGTAAACCATATGAAACTGCTGGTGTTTGACTACTTTTGTCCTTTGTATTTGGAAATTCCATACGGTTCAACCTAATATCTTTGTCTTCCTAGTTTATTCTTGCTTTTCTATAAACTATGAAGTTATGATGGAATGGAAAGGAAGCAATTCTGTCTCATTCATTAGTGCCTAAAAAAGTGATATAGGCAGACAAGTAGAGAAAGAGACATTTTCATATACCTATTTTTCTTTTAGGACCACCGGCACATGTTTTGTGACATGTCAATTTTTGTTTAGCTGTCCACTTATAATGGTGCCTCTGACATTCTATGGTTATTTGCAGCATGCAGCATTCTTCTGATTCATTTTTTCTCCAGTGATGCTTGGTTTTGCCCATAGTATGAGTCCATCCTTATCCATTATGCCATGCCTCCCTTTTTTGCTTTTACTTCAGATTGCACTGAGCCTTGAGAGGTAAACTCCCTCAGAAGAAGGAAACTGATTTTCCCACATGTCTTCAAAGAATCCTTTTCCCAAAGTAACTCATTACCCTGCCTCTGAAATCAGTACTTTCTAAACTACACTGTGAAAGGAACTAAAAATTAAAAAAAAAAAATATCACTCCAGGCCTGCTCACACTAGAATGCTTTAAATGCTGTTGCACATGCAGTGTTAAGTCTGTTCTTGTTGCTAAGTGTCTTCCGTTAGTATGCAGAGTAGTGTCCTTGACTCTGTGCCTCAATATCTCTTAGTTTTCTGGACAATAATATGCACAGTTCTATTCCACAGAAATTGGTATAATGTACTGCCATCTTGAATATGGAACTCCAAGACTGCTGTCAGCCCCCAGGTTCATGAGAACTATTATAAAGGAACAATGTTTGAATGACTTCCTGTCATCCTTCCATATTGCAAACAGTGACATTTCCAAATAATACTGAATTTGGTACTTTACATGGGTCAAATTCATCAGAAAATAGCCAACCTTTCCCTTAATATTGTGCTGTACAGTTAATGGGAATTCTTTTCATATTCATCTCAAGTCCATTTATAATTTAGAATTCCCAGGGCCAATAACTATATACTGATAACATCTAAGTTTTATCATGAGAAGTTTTGGAGAACAAAGAATTTAAATTACTTTTCATTCATAAAATGCCTTGAGCTTCCTACACAGCCTCACATACCACGATTTGAGTGGTTCATCCACTGTTCATCCTCTCAGCTGCCATATCATGGTTAGGGGCAATGGAAAGATCTTTGACCCCTCAGTCCTGATCTAGAATAGTTTCACCCCTTTTAATCCTGAAGAGGCAAAGTTCATGACATAATGCTACTCAAGCAATGTTATTTCTGTCTCCCTGTCATTAAGCATTGAATTCACATCACTTTATATTGAGAATGTGTCACAATGTGACAGGCTAAAAATAAATTACATCGCTTGCCTTGCCCTCCAGTCTGGCATTCGTTTTTAAAGACAGATGTTCCAGCCTTTTCCAGACATGGACAAGCATATCTGACATGTTTAGTAAAATAAATACTAACTAATACAAGAATATATAAGTAAGATATTTATACTATATGGTATAGCACCACAATATGTATGAGCTTAATGCAGAAAATCATTTATTTGATGCTTTGCAATGTAATTCAAGATCACTATCCCAGTGACATATTCCCAAGTCTTGGCCCCACAGTGGTAATGATTGATTCTTGTCATTTGTGTCCATTGTGTTAAGGACAGAGTCTCACCCTTAGTGTTTATTTTTGCGTTCTGCCTTTTCTCAGAGATTGCCTTTTGAACTGTGGCACTATGTAACATGCTTTGTAAAATTAAGCCCCTTCCTCAGGATATTCTTGATGCTACATTAAAGCCATAGACAATGAGACAATGCTTAATGGGCTAAAGTAAAAAAATTACTTGAATTATCTAGTGTTTGAAATACTCTGGAACTCAAAACCATGAAGCAACCAACTCTGCCTGAAAGGGGATGGGAATAAAGAAAGCTTCTCAGGGGAGGTACCTAACCTGAATCTTAAAAGTAGGAATTTTCCAGTTGGAAAAGGAGTTTAAAGGTTCTGCAAGTTCAGGGAAACAACATAAGAAAAGGTATATGTGGTCTCTATTTGGGAGACCACAACTACTTTGATATGACGGGGTTATAGAGCACTTGAGATGGGAATAGAAAGAAAGAAACCAATCACATCTTTAGTCATTATATAACTGAGGTGGATGGATATTGTAATAGATTTGGAATTGGGAAAGGATAGGATCATATATTTGTTTAAAAAATAATATCACATGGGACCAATGTCCCATTTTAAATTAATTTCAAAAAATAAATAAAATAAAATAATGTCAATTTACATTCTAAAAATCATCTTTTACTAAGATTTATATGAGTATAAGTTGAGACAATTTAGATACCAAAATGGAACTAGTATAGATCTGGGCATCAAAGATTCTGTGTGCAGACTAGGGTTGGGGGCTCAGTGGCACTTGCTTTGCACATGTGAGGCACTGGGTTCAATCCTCAGCACCACATAAAAATAAACGAACAAAATAAATGTATTATGTCCATGTATAACTAAAAAAAAATTTACAAAAAGATCCTGTGTGCACCTCTTCCCAGCTATGTGAAAGTGGGAAAATTATACCTTGTTTTTAAAATCTTAAAGCAAAGATATTATTTCTACATCATAGGGTTGTTATATATTATAATTTATAAAAGAAATTTAACTGCTACATGACTCTCTCTACATATTAACCCCTGTTTAACCTCATGGGTCAATGTATTGTTAAGAATACTATGGCTTCAATTTGAAAATCTGATATTTCTGAGTAACCCATGGTTATTAAGCAATCCTGAGTTGTTGGCTAATATTGTGATATATATTTCAAAACTGGCACAATTCAAAATATACATTAATACTTCATGTATATTTTTCTTATGACCTGTTAAGCTATGGGAAATGTCACATGTAAAAGATTTTAAAAATCTTTTAAATAGTTCAATAGAGCATCTCATTTTCACACCAGTAGCTGAGTATCAACAACAAAGTGTATCTTTTTTATTTTTTCAACCATATCTTGACATGACAAGATGGTGCATAATTTTATTTTCGTGAAGAAATGTTCTGCTTTTTCATTTACCAACAAAATAATTCCCTCTTTGTCAAACATTTTCCATTGAAACCATGCCTATGAGACAGAATTTGATCTCTTATTCAACGACAAAAGAAAAAGAAAAAAAAAAAATAAAGACTAACTCAACAAAATCTTTCTTACTAGCCAAAAGGTGCAGTAAGCAATTTTACCCCCTTGAAATGTATGAATGGTCATAGATAACAGATTGTCATTGGTACAGCATCACAACACCCTTGATTGAAATAAGACTAGTTCTAGAAATGTAATAAGTGTTTCCTTCATGTTAAGATTTTAGGTTTTTTAAAAAAAAGATTTTATATTTAAAATGCTTCATATTTAAAAACATAAAAAACTCCCTATTACATTCAAATCCCAATTGCCCTTGAAATGCAAAATGGAAGCATGTAATTACTTGAGATTCCTCAGAAGGAATAAAGCATAGAAACCTGCTTAGAAAGTCTAATTTCTAGTATGCAGATTTGCCTTTGTGGTAACATTTTTCAGATTTTCCATGACTGTGCTGACATCACTTGGGTAATATGGCCAAGCTAAATCCAAACATGGAAGCTAAAATAAACTAAATTCACAGAAATATTGTCAACATAGAGATACTGTTTATTAATCCCACATTATTCTTTTTATAAATTAAATTAAAGGTATTAGTTATTAACCATACATTATTATTTCCTCGTCAACCCTACTCAGGAAGCCCCTGTGGTGGCCCGAGCAGCCTTGTTCCTGGAATGTGCCCGTTTTGTTCACCGCTGCAACAGGGGCAACTGGCCAGAGTGGATGAAAGGGCACCATGTGAACATTACTAAGAAAGGCCTTTCCCGCGGACGGTCCCCCATCGTGGGCAATAAGCGGAACCAGAAGTTGCAGTGGAATGCTGCCAAGCTCTTCTACCAGTGGGGAGACGTGAGCTTTGAATTTTCTTCTGTCAAACTTAAAGTACTTGAGTGGAGTTTTTGATTGCATTTGGTTTTGAAGACAATTCATTGTTATATACCAGGCACTGAATGAAACACTTTGTGGGGAAATGAACCATTCATTTAATCTTTCCAATAAATAAATCTATGAGGTGAGAGATTACTAAATCATCAAAACTGAAGTTTACATATGTCAAGCTATTTGCCAGAGTTTGCATATCTGGTACAAGGAGGAACTGGTATTCCATCTCCCACTCTGGATTTCAAATTTTTGCTTTCAATTGCTATATTCATCAAGAATCATCTTTGTGAAAATTATTGTTGTAATAGTTAATGCTTACATCCCATTTTGGCTTTCTATTCTAATTTATGTTTTCCCAGGACATGTTTTTTTTTTTTTTTTATCCCAGTTTTTTAACAGAATTTTCTTTTTTGTTTATATGCCATCTCTTAGTTACCCGAAAGCCTTCAGAAATAACTACATGTTATAGTTACTCATGTACCTACATATGTGTATAAGTGAATAAAAAGAAATGAATCTTCATTAGGAATTCTAATCAAACCTGATTAGGGAAGTTCATATCCAAAAGTTGGGTATTTGCCACAAATATCTGAGAGAAGGCAAGATATTCTCATGATACACCTGAGACTATTTTATCTGTGAAACTAAATACTTAATTAACAAATGATATACCTTTACCACTGTCTTTCTTAGAATGTAGGTAAAAATTTCTCATCCTTTAAATGGAATTTGTCACAGGGTTCTGCTCATTTGGAATGCTGTTCTTTTCTTCATCATGGCCAGATCATATTTCAGCCCTTCTTGACTCTTGTCACCAATGTTCCAGCCTATCCCCTGATATCCTGAATAATGGCATCGATTACCACTCTGGTGCCTTAATATTTCTTCGTGAGAATGGGATATTTTATCTCCTCTCTTTGAAGGTTTCCTTTGGCTTAAGTGCAAAGCTCTAATACATCTCTTTTCTTAGAAAATAGGAATTTTCCCCTAAATTTGCTTATAAAGTTGCTATGGTAACAAAAAATCTTAGAACGAATGTCACAGTGAACTAAACATTGGCATTGAGAGATGAAACAAAACTAGGGTGTGGGTGGAGAGTGGGAAGGGTGGCTGCCCCTAAGCACATTCTTCAAGGATGTTGCCTTAAAATAATTTGTAAAGCATGTTTACATGAGAGTTAGTCACTCTGATAAAATGCTAGAGGAAGAAGTGTGTAAGTAAGATTATAGGAAAGAAAGGGCAGGTAATTGGAGGGTCCATTGTCTTTTGGCTCTAGGTTCTTCTAACCAATTGTACAGGAACCTCTCACCCCCAATCTCAGGACTCCCTCATCTTGATTGTTACAACCTAGTCACTCCTCTGACAAGATGATGATCAAGTTACAACCCAAGCTTTCCCACTAAACATGCATGCAAAATGCAGTTTATCTCTTTCAAATTTATATTTCTGTCATTAAAACAGTGAATGATATTTCTAAGGACCCAGCTTTGTGGATGCTGTTTCATGACCATACTAAAATTAGAATGACATTTCCTGGGAGACACCAAACTTTTTACTCTTAAAATAAAACAATCAGATGGAAAATTGAGTTCACAAGTGGCAGAGAGCAGATGAAGGGTTGTTCTTATCCCCTACACCCATTATTTTGTATCCAATATCACATTAAAAATGATTCAGCACTCCACTGGTGAAAAGTTGTCTTCCTTTTTCCACAAAGAACCAGGTAATTCTGAACACACCTTCTCTCTGGGAAATTGGAGACAAAGTATTTTTCTTCAATTGTATAATTCTTTTAAGGTGAGGGGTATTTTGACTCTTTTAATTTTTTTTTTCAGGCAAAATAAGACAAGCAATTAAAAATTCCTAATATCACTGCTACTTTAATTCAACAGCGTTCCCTATATAGATTCTTCCCTTCTTTATTAATAGTACTAAATAGCATAGCCAGGCATGGTGGCTCATGCCTGTAATCCCAGCAGTTTGGGAGGCAGATGCAGGAGGAACATGAGTTCAAAGCCAGCCTCAGCAAGGTACTAAGCAACTCAGTGAGATCCTGTCTCTAAATAAAATACAAAATAGGGCTGGGAATGTGGCTCAGTGGTCGAGTGCCCCTGAGTTCAATCCTTGGTACCCCCCAAAAAAACCCAGAAATAGTATTATCCCTGAAGATAGTATTGTCTCTGCAACAGATTTCCAAAATAGTTCTTTTAATGCAAGTATGTATATATAAAATCATATATTTATATGTTATATATGCAATAAATATACAATATATATTATATATAATAAATATATATCATATATTTATATATGCATATATAAAATTATGCATACCTAAAAACATAGATAACATATACTTACCAACTCAATGAGAATATTGATTTAATAAGAAGAACAGTTAACCATTACCAAGCACAATTACCTTTAATTTCAACAGTTTGTAGACCATCACTTAAAACTCTTCATTGATAATCACTATGTTTATAGTCATGTTATTGTAATCCTAATATTTCTTCATGTTTTATTAGCTTAGTAAAATGACAAATACAATTGGTTTGTTTTCATCTCATTTAGGTAGAAAAGGTCCATAACAGAGGAGGCAAATTCTGTTAAAAAAATTACAAAGCCGCTCTCCATGCTACCCTTCCAATCCACCTCCTCCAGTACTGCAAAAATCTCCCAGGCAAATGAGCTTGTCGCTCCATGCAGCCAGTCTATTGGAATTCTGAATCATTCCCATCTTTCATTCTACAGATACAAGAACATTAATGAAATCAGGGATGACTCCCTAGTCTGAGATAGACCTAATTTGGGATCTTCTAAAATAAACAATGAGATTTGGGGTCACTAAGATAGATAATTAGACCAGTTGTCAGATTTTTAACTTTATTTTCCCTTTAGGATATACTTTTTATGTTCTTTCTAAACTAGTATTAAAAAACTTTCTTATACAACAGTTACCCTTTTTAGTCCTCCACTGATAAGATGTCTTTGTCTTTTCTCCTTTTTGTTTTCTAAAAGTGTGAGCAATTTTCATTCCCACAATTATTGTGGATTTGAGGACAAAAGTTGGTTTTGCATAAAACAGACCCATTTCTTCAATGCACAGAGATGTGGTGACCCCTGTTTATTACCTACCTCATTCTGGGTCTCTTTTAAGTGGTATCTCTGAAAAAGCAGTTCCAATTTCTAATCCTATGGGCTTCCCACAAGAAGAGGAAATCAAGTAAGTGCTAACCATATGAGGGTTTCCAATTTATAGGGTTTTAACCAAAGGACTTTCCAAATAAATACTTTCATGATTAATGCCTTCTGACATTTTTGCAGCTGTTGACTCAGCTGACTTCCTTGACCTTTTCCTTCCTTTTGTCTTCCATAACCACTGTGCTCCAGAGTCTCCGGGCCTCTCAGTGCCCCATTCTCTGTCTTCTTCCCTGGTCCTCTGCCTCCTCCCTCTCCGTAAATGCAGATAATACTCAGGATCTCTTGTAATTTCTTCCTGTTTTATTTCCTCCAAGGTTCATTATTCCTGTGTTTCCAGCTATTTTCTGTGTGCCAGTAGCACAGACTTTTCTATCCATAGCACCCTAGCACTTTTTAGATGTTTTTTTTTTTCATTGCCAACTGCATTTCGGGGGCATTCACTTGATACCCAGAAACTCACTTTTACCTGGATAAAACCCTTCTCCCCAAATGAACACATCCTGCCAGCAACCATCCTTAAGCTTTCTGTTCTTATTAATGGTACCACAATCATCTTACATGACAATCTTTGAATATATTGCAAACCTCTGTCCCCTATTGATCCTATCTCTCCCATTCACTGAATTCCATAGGTGAGATTTTCATTACATCCCGTCCGGATGATTAAATAATTTTCCCATTTGGTCTCCTCCTCAGTCTTCCCTCATCTAATCCATCCTATACACTGCTGGTAAAGTGATCTCCCCAAGGCACAGCCCTTCCCAAACAGCATTCATTCTGGTCTCCCAGCCACCAGACATTCCTCTTCAAGTCATTCTCCAAACTTCTGGCAGTGATTGGGCTAAAATGCAAATCAGAACATGTTTCTACCTGCTTAAAATGCTTTGGCTCTCCTTTTCCCGTGGCTTAAATCTTAACATTGCTTAATCTGGCATCACTGCCCACTGCAGAATCTTTGCTCAAATCACTCAAGATTATGTATGAAAAAGTCAAATGAGCAAATGCACCTAATGTTTGTCTTAAGACTTTGTACCAATGATATGTTTAATAACAGTAGGTCATTAAATGATTTTTTTTTTTTTTAAGCAGGCTGCTTGTCTTGTCTCTGCATTCCTGGGCAGCTATCGCAATGTCCCTGAGACAGTGATCAGGTTACCTAGTTCTAACCTACCTTTCTATTCTTTCTGCACATTGTTTCCTTCCTCTCATAAAATTGGGATTCAACCAAGTGACCTACCTGTCAATCTCTGAATACATGGTGCCTTTCCCTGAATGTGGATCTTTTAGGGCCCTGCGACTGAACATATTCACTTTCCAGTCTCCATCAATCAAAACTCCAATTCCTCGGAGTCTACAGCAATAAGACTCTTTGAATGAATTTAACCTATCTTCTGAACTAATTAAGTGTTTTCAGTCTCCTAGTGCATTATTTCAGTATTTTATTACCTCCTCAATAGACTGTAAGTCATGAAGGAAAAAATATTATATAGACATAGACACTCTTGTGTTTGAATCCCATTTCACAGTCTGCTGAGCAACTGTCTGCAAGTCTCTTGACCTCTCTAACCTTCCTATTTTCCCAACAGCAACCCTGCTGTATGTGGAAGTATAATGTACTAGGGCACATTAAACAAAGATACTACTATATTATAACAGCTAACCAAATTTAGTGTTCTATTTTATACCTTACAAATTACCTCACTCTATAAATACTTGATGCATGAAGGAAGAAAGGAAAGAAAGAAAAAATAAGGTGTACAGCTCTAATTGATTAGAAATTTAGCCCAGACAAATTTATTTTTGATAATGCTTTCAGCTTTATAAACTGTGGATTAACTTAGTTATTTAGTTACAATATCCCAGAAGGATTGATACAGTAAATTCCCCCTTTGAGTCTTATGATTCAGCCTCATAATTGCCTGTCTCATCCTCAGAACAAGGTCTTTTGAGGTGGAAATACTAGTTGGTTTTGTTTTTATATTTTGTTTTGTTCACTTAAAACTTCCCAGGTTAGCTAAAATCTCAGGATCCCGTGATATCTTTTCATACTACTTTCTTGTTAATGTGGTTTATGCTTCTTGGTTTGTAGCTTGTCATGTAATTTTAGAGTTTAAGGAGACCTATTTGTTTCAAGTTTTCTAAGACATTCAAAAAATTTGTGTTTTTATTTAAAGAGTTCTGGATTACTTTGCATATCCAGTAGTATTTGAATGTTAGTTTCTAATGTTGAGTCTACTACTTTGAATACCCAGTATTTAGTAACTCTTCTAAATATTTTAAAAGTATGATATTGGAGGAAAGAACAAAATTAGGTGAAATTTGTTCTTGCTAATACACAGAGAACCAAACGGTCAAACCTCAAGTTCAGTACTCAGCTTAGCCTTTTCCCTGACTCTCCTCCCTAAGCCCAGGTTCTTTTACTGTTGCATATTCTATAGAGTTGGGATGTAGAAGGAAATAGATAGAGGTAATGTTTTTGTCTCTTCTTGAGGAAATTCCTCTGATAAATCATATAATAGTGCATGGTGATTCGGAAGAACAGTTAGCAAGGATATTGATTTTATTAATATAACATAAAAGCTGATATTGTCAATGTGTGCAGTTATTTTTTTAAATATTTGTTCTAGTTATACATGGACACAATATCTTTATTTTGTTTTATTTATTTTTATGTGGTGCTGAGGCATGCGCTCTGCCACTGAGCCACAACCCCAGTCCAATGTGTGCAGTTATTAAAAGTCATGTTTCTAATATAGTCATTAGGTACTCCATGAAAAGAGAAGCTAGTACTTTTTACTAATTTATGGAGTATTGTGGAAGGGGGAACACAATCTATAAAAGCCAATAAGCACATACATAACGGCAGATATAAATAAAACTGCAGTACCAGAATTCTTGCCAACTTCTAAACTCATGAGTATGACACTGATATCCTCATAAACTAGCATAATCAGAAGCACTCTGAGGAAGAGTGCCTTCTCATTTTATACCACAGTAAAAATAGCCGTATATTCCCTAATAATAGATCTGTAAAATAAATGACCTTTGAGGAAATGGATATGCTGTCAGAAAAAAAAAAAAAAAACAGCTTCTTTATTAGTACACAAAAATGTCATTCCAGTTTCTACAAGACTTCATACTAAATGATCCTAGAGATAAGGTCAATGCCTTCTACCTCGGTTTCTTTATTGGCCGATATAGTGGTGTATACTACAGCCTACAAAAGATGCTTATACTGGAAATAATCCCCATTCATTGGCTGATTATGTCCTCTGTAACATGAGAGACGATGTTGGAGTCTAACATACGTTGTGCTGTTTTATTCTTTTCTTCCCATGGCAGGCAATTGGCGTCCGGTTGAATGAGCTGTGTCATGGGGAGAGTGAGAGCCCAGCCAACCTGCTAGGCCTCATTTATGATGAGGAGACCAAGAGGAGACTGAGAAAGGAGGATGAGGAGGAAGACTTTTTAGATGACAGTAAGGAGACTCCCTTTACTACAAGAACCCCTGCTTGTAAGAACCTCTGCTTTAGGAGCTCTTAATATCTCTCTTTCTTCTCTCATCCTCTTGCCACCTTCCCATGTCCCCCCGCACTGCGCCTTTCCGCCTGTCTCCTATGCATGGACGTAAGCATGTGCATTAAGCCACACAGAGAGAAGGCACAAACCAGAAAGAGAAGATAGACAAGGGCAAAGAGCTGTAGGCAATGTGCAAAACCCATTACTGTTTAGTCTCTGACTCCTGCTATTAAACATAGCTTGGTATTCAACGTCTCTGAGAAAATCTAGTTGTAAACAATTGCTTTTCCAGATGAGATTTTGTCATTTTTTTGTGTTGTTATTGCTTTTGGAAATAAGAAAGTGATAAAATAGAACAGGACATGCTTTCCAAATCACTAAAATATTCAGTTACTTAATCAGACTGTATTATGGTATTTAACATGAAATTGAAATACTAAAATAATTTGCTTAAGCTATGAATTTCTGCAGTACTGTATTTGTTTATTATATTCATCATAGAAGAGTAGAGACAAAGAAATTCTGGTTACATAGTCTCCAACAACATTTTGTTCATATGTGTGCTCCATACCATACTAGCTTGTGTGTATGTGCATCACTGCCTTTGATGGAGATGAAATTCCAATTATGGTTATAAAATTAGTGTCTTTATATGAAGATGATAGTGACCTGTCCTTTTAACCTTCCCTTCTGGTTTGAAATTCAAGCTCCCTCATTATATTTTAAGGGTTGCTGTTAGTTAATTTATGTCAAATCCATTGCTTTTCTGTAGACATGAGATATGAAAGAAGTATAACTTTGGACAGCAATAATCAAAGAGAATTCTTATGATATTCCTTTCCACTTTCACACTATTGATTTTTTAAAGATTCCCACTAATATGCTCTTCTAAGACCTTATCAAATTAGCAAACCTTCTAGACTTAGTTGTTGACAAAATACCAAATTTTCACACTAGTATTTCAGCTTAATGATGAAAGTTGACCCCGGAGATAAAAATTGAGTCTATCTTAGAATGATTCATGGAATTGAATTTAACCCACAGGAAGACTTGAGGACTATCCAGCAATCACAAAACCTAGAGAAGGCCTTACATAACACCCAGCCATCCAAATGGCACCCCCAAACTGCCCTGGGGATCCCAAGAGCCCTGAGGGAGCTAAAGCAACACTAAATGGATTCACCCTTTTATGCCAAAGTGAACTCAAATTTCCATTAGACCACAAAAGTATCATTTACTAATATGTTCTGTCTCATATGTCAGCTTTTTGTTGAGGCCATGTAGAAGTCAATCCTTGATCACTGCCACAGAGTATTTCAGATGTCAATCATGAGAGATCGTGGATTAAGACTAAGTTCACTGTTTACCCAACTGATAGGAAGAGTCTTAATAGGACAGATCCAGAAAGTGTTCAATTATTTTTTAAACAGTCTTGCACATCTAGGCATTTTTTAAACCATACTCCACTGAATATAAAAATGATATGTGTGATTTAGTTTAAAGTCATCTTGAGATTAGCTTATCTTGCACTTAAAAGCTAAATACAGTGAAGGCAAATTTCAGTTTGAAAGTTCTACAGGAGCTTGTCTCTTCCATTCTTAATGAGAAGCAAAGTTTCTGGTTGCATATTAACTCTGGAGAGCAAATAATGGTTTTCAGCAAGAAGCAATATCCCAGATATCATCAGAAGACCATGATTTCTATCTATGTCAACAGAAATCATGAAGTCTATATGCAATCTAATTAAGAAAGCTTAACATTCAGGATACATTTTAGAGATATTTTTAGTATATTGCCATGTAATGATATTATGATTTCCTGATTTCTTGATTCACTCAAAATAGATAACTCTTTTTTCTTTCATAAGAGGCAGAACACTACATAGTTTTTGGCTTTATGCTGAACACTAATTAGTACATTTCTGTGTGATTTATGGTGACACATATCTGAGAAGTGATTATAAGAATTTTTATAGTGTCCATGGTGTCACCATGGCCATTACTTGGCATATGGTGGATAAAATCCATTAGTGGCATATGGTGGATACAATGTCTTACTAACTTAAAATCCACTGTTCTTTAGAGCAAAAAAGAACTTTGGCATACTTCTAAAGTAGCTTTAGTCTACTAAAACAGACTACCTGTAATAATGATGTGATATAGATGACCTGGTAAGTGTGTTTTCTCTTGTCTGTGTTGCACAAACATAACTGGAGTAGAGCTGAAACAACTTCACTACCCCAGAACATTAAGACTAACATCCTTTCATAAAATGAGCTGACAGGATTGTTGTAGTTCTCAGTCTAGTTCATTGCCATTTACATAGTCTACATCTGATTGAATGTATGAGTACTTTGTATTTCTCTTTTTATTAAAACATTTTCTAGTTTACTGGGGTTATATTTTGTTACTCTAAAAGGTATTTTTAAATTTTTTTTTATTTAACCACAATGGTGTCTTTTCTTTCTTTCTTTCTTTTTTAATGTGGTACTGAGGATGAACCCAGTGCCTCACTTGTGCTAGGCAAGTACTCCACCACTGAGCCACAACCCCAGGCCCACTCTATAAGGTTTTAAGATGAATAATTTAGTTCTGCTTGTTTGCTATTTAGTAAAAAATCTTATATCTGATCTAAATAGAAATCAGAGTATGGTCTGATATTTTAATACTGAAGTAGTCCTTAAAGAATTGCAAAATGAAGAAGAGAGGTGTATGCAATGCATACATTATGCTAAGTGCAATTGGTAGATTGAACTTGCATAGGTAATAGTCTCATGAAATTTGATTTTGCATGCATGTACCTAGGTCCATCAAACTGTGCCTATCTGTATTTGTTACTGGTTTCTCTTCTAATGGAAGACCTCCTTCATTCCTTAGGTACTGTGAACCCCTCTAAATGTGGCTGCCCCTTTGCCTTGAAGATGGCAGCTTGCCAGCTTCTCCTGGAGATTACCACCTTCCTGAGAGAGACCTTTTCTTGCCTGCCCAGACCTCGTACTGAGCCATTGGGGGTAAGTTAAAGCATGTGTATTAATAATCAGGCTACCTGGAAAGGCCAGACGGATGCCTAGTTTTCTGGTACTCACAATTTCTTTAAACTCCCAATGGCCAGATGCATCACATAATTTAAAAATTCGGCCATGGAATTTCATTTATAAAAATAAATGTTCTCTTCTCTATTAAAATAATAACACCAAAATTGACTTAGAGATCAGCAGAGACAGCACCATGGTTGATCACCATCAGTTATGCTGGAAATATCTAAGAGCATTTAGGTTCCCTTACTTTGCTAACTGTGAGGAGTGTCATGGCCAACACTCTCCAGAAATCACTGGAAGATTCTTTCTTTTTTTTAATTTTTGCTACCATCTATTTATAAGTTTATATAGAAATGTGCTTTCAATGAGTATTTTTGTTTAAATTATGGGTTGAAAGACTTCAGTGTTCAGTGTCTAAACATTCCCATATATTGTTATTAATGTAGCATTTCTTTTTTATTTTTCCTGACTCTGGAAAATTGTTATTTTTTTTATTTGTTCTAATTAGTTATACATGACAGTAGAATGCATTTGAACACATCATACACAAAAGAAGTATAGCTTTTCATTCTTCTGGTTATACATAATGTACAGTTCTACCAGTTGTATAATCATATATGCACACAGGGTGATAGTGTTTGATTCATTCTACTATCATTCCTACCTCCATACACCCTCCTTTCACGCCCCTCTGTCTAATCCAAAGTACCTCTATTCTTCCCTAGCCTCCCCACTGCAATGTGAATTAGCATCTACATATCAGAGAAAACATTCGGCTTTTGGTTCTTTGGGATTGGCTTCCTTTACTTGGCATGATATTCTCCAGTTTACTGGAAAAGCCATCATTTCATTCTTCTTTAAGGCTGAGTAATATTCCATTGTGTATATATACCACATTTTCTTTATCCATTCATCTGTTGAAGTGCACCTAGGTTGGTTCCATAGGTTAGCTATTGTGAATTGAGCTGCTATAAACATTGATGTGGTTGCATCTCTATAGTATGCTAATTTTAAGTCCTTTGGGTATAAACTGAGGAGTGGGATAACTGGGTCAAATGGTGGTTCCATTCTAAGTTTTCTGAGGAATCTCCATACTGCTTTCCAGAGTGGTTGCACCAATTTGCAGTATCACTTGCAATGTATGAGTGTACCTTTTTCCCCACATCCTTGCCAACATTTATTGTTGCTTGTATTCTTTGTAATTACCATTCTGACTGGAGTGAGATGAAATATTAGAGTAGTTTTGATTTGCACTTCTCTAATTGCTAGAGATGTTGAACATTTTTTCATATATTTGTTGATGGATTGTATTTTTTCTTCTATGAAGTGTCTGTTTAGTTCCTTAGCCCATTTATTGATTGGATTATTTGGGTTTTTTTTTTTTTTTTTGGTGTTAACTTTTTTGAGTTCTTTATATATCCTGAAGATTAATGCTGTATTTGAGGTATGTATGGTGAAGATTTTTTTCTATCTTCACATTATTGATTGTTTTCTTTGCTGTGAAGAAGGTTTTTAGTTTGATTCCATCCCATTTATTGATTCATGATTTTACTTCTTGCACTTTAGGAGTCTTGTTAAGAAAGTCAGTTCCTAAGCCAACATGGTGAAGATTTGGGCCCACTTTTTCTTCTGTTAGGTGTGGGATCTCTGTTCTAGTGCCTAAGTCCTTGATCCACTTTGAGTTTTTTTTTTTTTCTGCAGGGTGAGAGATAGGGGTATAATTTTATTTTGCTACATAAAGATTTCCAGTTTTCCCAGCACCATTTGTTGAAGAGGCTATCTTTTCTCCAGTGTATGGTTTCTGATGCCTTTGTTTGGTATGAAATAATTGTATTTATATGAATTTGTCTCTGTGCCTTTTATTTTGTACCATTGGTCCTCGAATCTGTTTTGTTGCCAATACCATGCCATTTTTGTTACTATGGCTCTGTAGTATCATTAAGATCTGGTATTGTGATGCCTCCTGCTTCATTTTTCTTGCTTAGGAATGCTTTGGCTATTCTGTGTCTCTTATTTTTGCAAATGAATTTTGTGATTGCTTTTTCTATTTCTATGAAGAATGTATTGAGATTTTCATAGGAATTGCATTAAATCTTTATCATGCTTTTGGTAGTATGGACATTTTGACAATGTTAATTCTGCCTATCCGAGAACATGGGAGATCTTTCCATCTTCTAAAGTCTTCTTTAATTTCTTTCTTTAATGTTCTGTAGTTTTCATTGTAGAGGTCTTTCACCTCTTTGTTAGATTGATTCCCAAATACTTTATTTTTTTGTTAGGCTATTGTGAATGGGGTAGTTTTCCTAATTTCTCTTTCAGTGTGTACATCACCAATGTATAGGAATGCATTTGATTTATGAATGTTGATTTTTATATCCTGTCATGTACCATTTCTAATGGATCATGGATAGAAAACATTACACACACACACACACACACACACACACACACTCACATACCATGTACTACAGAATAATATTGTTTTACTGTGGATATATATAGTATGCAAAAGCCCCAGGAGTTTTCACAGAGTGAGTGGTCTCAGGGCAACCTGGCCTCTAGTTCCCCAGTGGACACCAAGTGTCCAGTGGTTCTTGCATCATAGGCAGCATCCAGCCAGAGTGAGGAGACAGACACAGTCTCCCCCCAAAAAAACCTTTACACAAAGCACATTCTATTGTCCCAGAAAAATGGTCATACTAGCAATCTGTGCATTTCTATTTAAGCAAATTTTACAATCAGCCACCACTTCTGCTTTTTAAACCAACACAGCATGAATTAGGTAGCACCCCACTCTGGAGCAAAAGAATCAGTGTTCCAGTATCATGGAGCAGTATCTCTGCCTTTTGGGTTTTCGGTGTTCTAAAAAGTCTATTTCCTTATATGTTTAAACATAAAATGTTTTCAAGTTGGAAATATTTGTGAGTAAAATGTATTTTTTTTCAACAGAAACAGGCCCACACTTAAACTGTGAAAATGTATAATTGAATATTGGAAAAGGAAATTTCTCCTACTGCCCTTATGTAACTTCATCTTAACCTGGATCTTTAACTTTCTAGTTTTTCACTATGAAATTGAGACTACTCTATGAAGTCAAATCAAGGCCCCTCAACATATGTACTTAATTTAAATTATAGTCAAGTGTAACAAAATATCTGATCTGTAGGCCTGTGTATTGTTATTCAACCATCTAATTATACTAAACTCTTTACAAAAACGTGGAGTACATCTGATTTTAAGTTTTCAGATTTTTATTGGTCACCATTTTGATCCATTGTGATAAAAAATATATGTAAGAATCTAGTTTGCCTCAGTTACTTTGTTCTCCCTTTAACTCTTTAAATCTATCATTTAATGTCCCTTATCATCATGACAAATTTCAGTCTTTTAATCAGTCAATCAAATCTTTAAAAAAAATTAGTATATAACCAATCGGCAGATCTGTAGGATATGCCAAGAAAGGAAGCTAAGACAGGATCTGTAATCATTTGGTCACCAGAGGAAAATTTTTACTTCTTTGTCACCTTTAACTAGATCTCAGAAGTCTTTTAGTCATTACATCAACATTCTCATTGTTCAGGTTTGTGTATTGTGCTGGGATGTCTTCTTTGATAAATAAAAGGAGAAAGATTTTTCCCCCATATTTAAGCTATCTAATTATATTTGATAACAAATAAAACTCAAGCCACATTCTAACTGTAGAAAAATCAATGCGTATCATAAAAATGTTTCACCAACATGAAAATTCTTAAAATCATTTCCTTTTTAAAACTTTTGCCAAGAACACCTAGCATGAAAAGCATTGTAAGTACAATGTTGTACTGCAAATCTCTTAATGTACATTCTCTCTCTCTCTCTCTCTCTCTCTCTCTCTCTCTCTCTCTCTCTCTGGTATTGGGAATTGAACCCAGGGGTGTTTTTCCACTGAGCTACATGCCTAGCACTTTTTATTTTGAATCAAGCTCTTGCTAAATTGTTTGGGACCTTGTTAATTGCTGAGGCTGGCCTCAAACTTGTGATCTTCCTGCTTCAGCCTCCTGAGTCACTGGTATTACAGGTGTGTACCACTATACCCAGCTCCATATTTATCTCTCTGAAATTTTATACTCATCATTAGTCACTCCCTGTTTTCCCTTTCTTGCTGCTCCTAGCAACCACCATTCTACTTTTTGATTCTATGAATTTGCTTATTTTATTTTATTTTTATTTTTTGAGAGAGAGAATTTTTTAATATTTATTTTTTAGTTTTCAGTGGACACAGCATCTTTATTTTATTTTTATGTGGTGCTGAGCATCGAACCCAGTGCCCCACTCATGCCAGGTGAGCGCACTACCGCTTGAGCCACATCCCCAGCCCCAAAATTGCTTATTTTAGATATTTCATATAAATGCAATTATATAGTAATTAAAAAAATTTTTTTAGTTGTACTTGGACAAAATATCTTTATTTTATTTATTTTTATGTGGTGCTGAGGATCTAACCAGAGTCTTGAACATGCCAGGCTAGCACTCTACCGCTGAGCCACAACCCCAGCCCCATGAAGTATTTGTTTTTGTGTAACTGGCTTATTTTACTCAGCATATTGTCCTCAAGGTTCATCCATGTTGTTGCATATGACAGGATTTCCTTCTTTTTTACAGGCTAAATAGTTTTTTAAAGAAACTGTACTGAATAGTAATTTTAAAGACTAAGCATATTTATAGCCAAAATGAAATAAGCTAAATTTTAAACAAAACACTGCTAGTACCGTAACATTCTTAGTGCACTAAAAAGCGTTACCTTAATGTAGAGAATAATATAAGGTAGTATAATAATCATATGAGAAGCTAAAATAATTCTGAAATTTGAGGCTTTGGGATAGGAAAGAATCAAAAACACAAACTTTCTACCAAGAAAAAAAAATCGTTCTCATAGAATGCATAAGGTGATTTCCAATGTGTGAGTCAGATTTGCATGTGAATATTTGTTTGAAAAAGTTCTAGTTATATTTAAGAAGTAGAATAAAAAGCAAAAGAATTTTTAATATAATAACTGGAACAAAATATTAGTTTTTAAAACCGTAATTATTTCCTAGAAGTTGGGAAAATCCAAAAAGGCACTGGATGAGTAGGCAATGGCTAGTAAAATAAAAGAAAATTTATATCAGAATAGTAAAATAATAGTGAATAATAATTTTATTCTCAGGTAGATCCCTAGAGATAACTTAGTGTGCTTCTCCCCCACCCCCCAAAAAAACAACTTCTGTTAGCATTTTTATTGACTGTTTTTATAAACCATCAAAAATATACATCAAAAAATAGAAAAAGAAGCATTGTTACAAGATTAATAACACAGCATATTTATAATGTAAGAGAACAAATTTTTCTCTCAATGTTGTCATCCAAATGAGAACAACAAAGGAATATTTGAAAAACAGAGAATGTTGTTCATAAAGATAATGGTCTACTAAAATTTTTCCCAATTGAGTTAATAAAAATCAATAACCAATGAAAAAGAAACTTGGAATTCAAACAAAAAATTCCCATAAAATGCGTGGATGAGCTCTTAATAAGTCAGAGCCAATAAAGAGTTTCTGTAAAAAAAAAATTCTTTAGTAATTTCCCTAATTTCTATAGAATTATTACCAAAGTGGAAAGTAGATTAGGCTATTTTTCCTAAAAGGGATTAATTTCTGGGAAGCAAATCTACACCTAGAACATTTTTGAAAATGTTAGAATAGATTCCATTTGGCTCCTTTATTTTCCTAGTCATGCTCTAATTTTCTAAGTACCAAAGTGTAACTTGTTGTTTATCCAAAAGGAAAGGAAGAAACAACATTAGAACAACATGTAGAGATTAAAATCTCATCTTGTTGGCAATCAAAGCATGAGATTTTAACCTTGTGCAAACTGGATTTTTAAAAATATTTTTTGTCGTATCTACTTCATCCTGAAGAATAGTTGTGGTATAATTTTTGAAAAATACTGAACAAAATAAAGTCAGCATTTTTATATTTTCTATTTTTCAATTCTTCCTTATTATAGATGAATAATTAAACACGAAACAGGTCAAATTTTTAATTTGGGATCTTGTAGGCCAAATGCGACTAAATAATTATAGTCTCCAGGGCTTGCTTACTTTAGGTTATGGGATCATTCTGTTCATTGGCTTTGCTAAAGTTGGAGCTCCTCTTCTACTTTGTTCCTCCTAGAAGGGAGTAAAAAATTCCCCAGTGCATGATTCTGCTTTGAGCTTCTGGCACTCACATGTGATGTTTCTTAAACCTAAATTGACTTCCTCCTCGCACAAGCAAGGAACAATACATAATCCACAAAATTTAACTTGAACATCACCTCCATAGTCATTTTTTTGGGGGGTTCTGATATAACAAACTGCTACAAATGTAGTTGTTCACAACAGTACAAACATATTTTCTTAGTTCTGCAGGTCAGTTTGCTAGGCTAACTTTAAGGTACTGGTAAGTTTGCCTTCCTATTTGGGGCACTAAGGAAGAATCTCCTTCCTTACCTTTTTTCCATCTTAAAGAGGCCACCTGCATTCCTTAACTTGTGTCCCCTTCCTCCATCTTCAAAGCCGCAAACAACATCTGATACTTTTCCCTGACCACAACCTGGAAAGGTCCTCTACCTTTAAAGATTCTTGAAATTAAATTGAGCACATTTAGCTTATGCAGGATAATCTTCCATATTAAAATGTTAACCTTAATTACACCTATAAATAAAGTCCCTGTTGCCATGTAAGGAAACGCATTTTCAGATCCCAGGGATTAGGATGTGGACATCTTTGAGGGCCATTGTTCTGCCAACCACAGTCTCCAAGTCTGACTTCTAAGACCCTGCTCTATCTCTCAGTCTTGAAATTTTTCATTGATGTCTTCACATTTTTAAAAAAAATTTTATTTGTTCAACTTTAGTTATTCATGAAAGTAGATGTATTTTGACATACACACGTGGAGTATGACTTCCCATTCTTGTGGTTGTACATGATGTGGAGTTATATGCATCATGTATTCATATATAAACATAGGAAAATTCTGTCCAATTTATTTTACTGTCTTTCCTATTCCCATCCCCCATCCCTTCCCTTTGTCTAATTCAAAGTACTTCTGTTTTTTCCTACCCCTCCTTTTTTCAGAATTCTGAGTTCCTTTAGGGAAAGAACCATTTCTCATCTATCATGCAGTATCTAACACATTCATACTCAGTGAGTGATTCATAAATAGATAAACACCAATGATTCAGCTACAACTATGGACAAAGAATTAGAGGGTAAAGGAAGTAAGTTCTAGATTTGGGACAAAGTCTGTTTTTGGAACATAAACACGAAAGAAGAGGAAAACTACAAGTTAAGGAAGATGTTATTTATTTTCCAATTCGAAAATAGTTTTTCATGGCCATAATCTAAAATTAGCAATAGACAAAAGAATTTGGTTGTTTGAATGCAGTTGTGTGGGATTCGAGGGAGGCTTGCCACAAGACCAATGCAGCGCTGGGAGATACCAGCACGCACGTGCTCCTCACTGACATTTCAGGACTTGGAGAGCTGCAGACTTCGTCTGGATCCTGAGTTGGACCGGCACAGATATGAAAGGAAGATCAGCTTTGCAGGGGTCCTGGATGAAAATGAAGATTCAAAAGATTCTCTCCATAGCAGCAGCCACACCCTCAAATCAGACACAGGGGTGGAAGAGAAGAAAGGTATGGAAAAGCAAGGATTATTGCATGGTTCATGGTTTCTCTTGGTCTAGTGTCTAAAACTATATCTGTTTGTTCAAATTGTTGACTCTGTACAGCACTGAGTTTGTAGACTCAACCAGGTAGAAACCATACTAGTCAGAAGTCGGACTTTGTATTCAGAGGGATCTGAATTCTAGCTCCAGCTTGGCAGTTCTCCATTGAATCTAAGATGCCGTCAGGTTTAAGATGAACCATTATTTTATTTACCAATAAGAGAGAAAAAATACTTCCAATTCAATTCTTCTGCAATATTATAACTTTGTGCTTTATTCTTATTGAGAGAGGACTTTCAGACTTAACTAGTTGCAGTTTTATTATTATAGTTCATTCTTGTGCAGCCAAAAAATAAAAGCATAACTAACCAAGACTAGTTAAAGCTTTTCTAAATCATTTTTAACTCAGAGTTGCCAGTGTCCATGTTTTTCCATAGAAGAATGTCCTCTGTGCCATCAGAATGTTAGTGATAACATAATTTCTGAAACAGTTCCATAAAAGAAGTAAAGCTATTTGTGCTAGTTATTTAAGCCAACTTTGCACTGATATTAAGCTAGCCTACTTTCAATCCCTCTTCAAGATGTTGCTAAACACCCCCAATTTAATACTTCACCCCTCTCCCAATCCTTGCTACCACTTAGCTCCTTGAACTAAAAGATATTGGTATCCATCTGTACATTTGGCCGCTGATGTTTTAGATGTTCACATGGATGTAAGCAATAGCAAATACATCACTACTGCCAGCTGGTAGTAGTGTTCATATCAGTTGTAAGGCATATCCCAATTTCAAATACATTAAAAATGTGGAAAGATGTGTATCTTAAAATGGGTGAAATACAGTAACTTTCTGTGGGACCTTGTCTAAGTTACTTACCTTTTAAGTTGTAGTTTTCTATAATATTGGGCTAATAGCACCTTCTATGGTGTGATGCTTATAGCTTTAAATAAGTAAAGCATAAACTTAGTTCCTGGCAGATAATAAATACACAATAAATAACTGCTGCCATTCTGGTTTTTTTTGGTCATAAACACATAGATTAGAACCCATACAGAAAATCCTAACTATGCACTGAAGATTGCAAAGTCTTAATTCGTTCTCTAAAGCCTCCTGAACTGTCAACTTCACTCTTTGATTTTGCTGTTTTTTAAATTTCATTGCCCTTCAGTGCTTTTTATAAAAAATTTCAATTTAAACAACATGTACACTCTTGTTACAAAAATCGATGCTGAGTTAATGCGTTGATATATTTCTAGTGTCCTATAGACAATGGCTCAATGCATGTTTGATTAACTTAATGAATGAATGATTCTCAGAAGGAATGGTCCCATATAGAGAAAAAAACAAAATATTTAAAATCCTGCAAGGAATGGACATACATTGAGAAAAAATGGGACATTTCAAGTTCAATTTATGGTGAACAGAGGTCATTTGTAGGAAGGATAAGCCAAGTCTTGAGCAATTCCTTAGTATGTAGAAATATCAACTCAACAGAGGGATAACCCCCAGTTTTTGAAACACATCCAAAGGTATTTTAATTAAAAAGCCAGACCCCAAAGTTATAGTGCTAATTATTATTTGAAGTAGTCAAATAAAAATTTCAAATACTGACATAGTTAAATTTGAACAAAGTAAAATCTGCATCATTAAAAAATGAAATATGATTAATTTTAAGGCCATTTTAATTTCATGATTATTAGTTATGTAAATTGCCTTTAATTTTCAAACACTGAAATGCTTCATATTTTTTCTCCTCACAGAATGGCTATGTTATTATTATATGGAAGTTGTTTAATGAATTAACAGAAAACAGAAACTATAAATAAATCAAGAACATATCCATAAAATGTCCTTAATCAGTGAGCAAACATCTTCTCAAAGATTTATACATATTCCCTAAACCATTTAACAAGCTGATATCAGTTATGGGAGCCAACATAAAAATGGTGACATCAGGCTCTGCGCGAACTATGATTATTAAAACATTTAAAATTTTTTTCACACCATCTGTTTTTATTTAAAAAAAAAAAAAAGTCAACTCCTGAAATAAACAACCTGAAGACAATTCAGATTTTACCAAGGAAGAACAAATGTGAACTAATCCTTAGAACTGAAAATATCTGCCAAAATGTCCATGCAGAGTCTGACAAATCATTTTACCCATATTCCAAAGATGAACTAAGACTAGTATTCCCAATACTGACACCAAGACTAGTCTCATCATGCAACACCTATCCGCTGAGCTAGGAACTGTTACAGATTCTCAGAATACAGCAATGAACAAAAAATTTTCCACATATTTTTATTTATATTGTTTAATAGTTGACAACAGTTATTTATGTAACAGTGAATACCATGAAATACTAGATTTTCTAGTGGAGAAAAAACTATCTGAAGAAAAGTAAATTAGGATCAGGTTTTGTGACATGGAGTAGGAAAGACATAGAGTAGTCCATCAAAATTGACATTGAGAGAGACCTGCATGCATCAAAAAAGCCAAGTGCTGAGGAAAGAGTGTTATGAACAGAGGCAACCACAAGGACAAGGTTGTGATGCAGGAATGAACTTGGAGCATTTGAAGAAGGGGAAAAAGACCACCATGGTTACAAAAGAATGAGTTGGGGAAAAGTGTCGTAGGAGATTGAGTCGGGGTGTTAGGCAAAGGGTAAACAGGCTCTGGTAGATATGGTTAGAACTTTAATTCTATTTTAAATGTGTTAGAATATTGTTAGCATGTTTGACCATAAAGGTGATATAAGGTATGTATTTTTAATTTATGTATTTTAAATAAGAAGAGACCTATGGGAGTGGAGGGAAAGGTAAAGCAGTTTTAGTTACATTAATCCAGGGAAGATGTGATGGAGCTTTCAAAAATCTATGATATTTTTGAAGCACAAAGAAAGCAGGTTTGGCTAATGAATACAGTGTGGGGTGAGAGAAATGGGTAAAGGAGATATGTTATCCAGTTTAGATGAATTTGTTTCGCTTTCATACAAGTTCTTGTTGTCATGGAGATAAAGGCTAAAATTCAATGCGGAACAATCTCAGCTGACATTTTTCTTGTATAAAACCAAATCTGGATTCTAACTGCTGTGTCCCTTGTAAATAGCCAACATCATAATTCTGAACCCTAATTTTTTAGTGTTACAGGATGTCTCCAATTATCTTCAGTGTTAGAACAAACTCTCAACATTAAATCTCTTTCAGATGACATTAATTTGAAATTATTTGGCCTCATTCATTGGCTGAAAAGTATCATAAAATCAGGCAAAGAATGTTAGTATGTGCTTCTGTTAAAACCAAAGAATTATCATTTTAATCTTTTTCTCTACTTCTCAATCTGCAGAGACATGAAATTGCTCTAGCAATCATAAGAGTGATAATTACATTCTGTTTCAAACATATTTCAAATGCATCATAAAGTCTCAATTAAGCCTAAAAATAATACTGAAAAATACTGTTGTGTGAGTTGTGCTATAATTAAAATACAGCATTATGGTCTATAGTTTTTATGGAATTTATCCAGCAGTGCTGCGAGAGATTCCTTCCAGATGTGAAATTCTCTCCAGTTTCATTCAGGGAGCTCCATGAAGCTTTTACTAGCTGAGTGGTGACAATTTTAGTCTTTCTTAATCTTAAGAGTAAACTGGATATGAAACATTCACGTTGTTCATCAGGAATTCTTTTGGGTTCCTTTATGTGGCATTGAAAGTATACATTTAACTAATATTTTAAAAAATTATACAAATTCTATTAGTCACATGTTAACACTCCTTTGGGTGAGAAACCTGAAACTAAAATTCAAACTTCCCGATTGGAGCTTTAAAAATATTAATAATGATGCTTCAAAAAATATTAATATTGATGCCTTAAATAATTAGTAAGAAATATTGTTTCTGCCTTAAGAAGGTAAGCTTATAAAACTGGCCCCTTCCTGATAATGAATTTTTAACCTTTAAAACTTTTTTTATCCTACTTTTATAAAATCAATATTGACAACAGCAAATCTTCAAAAATAAAAATAAAAAAAGGAAGGAGGTATGTATATGACTATGGAAACTAAGGATACTTTTGATTTTTAAAAAACTAGGTTTCAAGTTTGAATGTGTTTCTTTTACCCTTTTATTTCTCCCACTGATGACTGTTTCTTCCAGAACACTAAAGATGAATAATGCATGCCTTCTTGGTACACATAAACTGTAAGGTTGGCTCAAGGCCTTGCAACATTTGGACTCACATCTCACCAGCCTTTTGATTGAGAGGAGGATGCTATGAAATCACTAGATGCATTGAAAATGGACCCATGTCACATGCATGCTCACCCGAAGCACCCCTGTGCTAATAGATCCCAAGTGCCTTTGCTGAGGAGCAGGGCAGAACCCAGGGCTGACTGTTGGAGAGAGGAGTGCCTCTCGTTTTTGTTTTTTGTTTTCTCTTAATGAGGTATTCCAAAAAGAAAGGGCGGCACTTCACAGAATTCTGTAAGTCCCATTTCAAAAGAAAAACAAAAACGAATGGTTTGTGGTTCTAGTGAATCAAGTCATGATGCACTGTAAATGTACTAACAGTCCTAGATGATTTTGCTGCAAGACACACTCATGCTTGTGAACCCTGGGCCAGAAAGACTGTAGGTTGTTCCCAGCCCTTTGTGACCAAGAAAGACACTGCACCAGCACTTCCTGGTGGCCCCAGCCTCCTGCCTGCCTGACAGAGCCTGGTGCCTGGGGGGGCCAGGAGAAGCTTCCTACCCAGAAATGCTGCTTGTCCAGGCAACAGAGAGGAGGCTGATCAGGGACAGGTTGGGGAGAGTTTGGATCTAATATTGGCTGGGGAAAACTAAGGGGGGAAAAGCCCTATTTTATTCTTTTAATACAGTTCCCAGCAGGAAGATCAGGATAGGAGGTTCTCGCCTGCTCCAGATTAAAGGAACCCGCAGTTTCCAGGTGAAGAAGGGGGGTTCCTTGTCCAGCATTCGCCGAGTCGGCAGCTTAAAGAGCAGCAAGTTATCACGTCAGGACTCAGAGTCTGAGGCTGAGGAGCTGCAGCTGTCCCAGAGCAGGGACACTGTCACTGACCTAGGTAACATAGAGGAGCGGGGTGTGCAGGGACGTGGGGGGTAGGAAGACAGGACCCAAGTCCTGAAACAGCTGAAGTCCATTTTCTTACACATAAATAGATGAAAAGCAAAGCCACAGGCTAGACAACTCCTTCTGTCTAAAAGTCTTCTACCCCTCCATCAGGCTGCTCAAACCCATGGGAGCACAAAGGTCACCTGGATGTCTTATTAAAGTGCAGGTTCTGATTCAGCAGATGGGGCAGGGGTCTGAGATTCTCTGTTTTTTCTCAACAAGCTTCCTGCTGAAGTTGACGCTGATGATTCTAGGACCCCATTTTGAGCAACAGGGATGGAAAATACTTTAGGGAAAGAAAACACTTCAGTGACAAAGGCAGTTTTACAAATCCAGATGTCAGTGTATCCATCCTTCTGATAGGACCTTCAAAATCAAATGTAGAATTCCCACAGGAACAGTTACTTAAAGGCCCTCTATATTTTGAAATTTCTAGTTAACAGGGTTTTGTTTTTTTTAATATCAGAAAGGATAGAAAATCTAGATCTGATAATTAGGGATCTTTAGTAAATCACTTAACTTCACAAGGACTTGTCTTCTCCAACTATCCAATGGGAATTAATTCTACTTACTCCTTGCCTACTCTGCAGGGATGTTTTAAAGGTAGATTAGGGGATGGTTGTAAAATGTGTTAAATTATGAGAATGAGTTCTATATACAAAACACTGGTGTTGTAGATTGTCACTATAGGATCTAAAGAGATTCCAGATTCCAAAATGTATTAGTCCAAAATATGGACCCTGATTAGCATCTGTTAATAGACAAGAAAATGCTTAAGTAGGAATGAGGATAACCTTCCCAGCATGATTAGGTAAATATTGAAGCACATTCTCTTTGCCATTCAGACCTAGTTTCAAGTCAGCAATACATATAGATAAATGATTGATAGAATCTGCTGAAATAGAAACTGAGTGTATCTAATCAAAGAAAGTTTAAATTAGGAAATGTTTTTACATCCACCCACCCTAACCTTTGAAAATAGCTAATTTATGCGTCACTTAAGATTCAGCCTATTTTTCAAGGAGACAATAGAAAAAAATCTTTGTGACTTCTGTTGTTAAAGGGCTGAACTATAACATCCTTGTCAGTTAGTTTGGGGGGTGGGGTTATTGAAATTAATTGTGTGAATTGATCTACTTATTCTGACCAGTCGAGTCAAAGCAGCCAGGCTGGGGACATTGTTTGGTCTTTAGAAAGATTCATAAAAGCTTTTAGATTTGAGGGCAAAGCTTTGCATGTAAAATACTAAGTAGTGATTTTCAAAGACATAGCTTCTTTATACTTTGTCATAGAGAGGAAGCCAGGGTGGTCCATAACTGGACATCATTGCTTTCAAATTCCCTTAGTTTTTCTAGGGCACCCACTCATCTTTGAATAGCTCTGATGGCAAATCCCAGTTGCTAGAACAGTAGCAGGAGCTGCAGTCACAACCACAGTGGAGGCAGCAGCACTCTGCCAGGCCACTGCAGACCAGCTGGTGTCCCTGTGTAACTACACCTGTAAGGCCTGGTCATTCTGGAGTGGATTTGGACACACTCAACCTGTAACTGGCTTATCTCAGCAATTCAAGGACTTGACTCTTTATCTCTCTGCTTCCATCTCTCAAAATGGAAGCCACCATTAAAGAGATCATCAATGTCTTTGAAATTGCCAGTTCAGCTGGTGGTTGAAAGTAACAGCTCCTATTAATATTCTTCCAACAAAGTCCTATGCCCTAACCCACTGGGCCATGGTAGTCTGCCCTAGGATTCAAAAGCATGGACAACTGTACCACACCAACATGCTCTCCAGGGAGACTGAATGCTGAGACCTTTCTTGGTGTTTTCTTTTGAAGAAGGGAGTCCTTGGAGTGCAAGTGAGCCCAGCATTGAGCCAGAGGGAATGAGCACTGCTGGCACAGAGGAGAACTACCACAGGAACATGTCCTGGCTTCACGTAAGTAGGAAGATTATGTAAACTCAGAAAGAGCCCTGGGATTGATTTCTTTTGGCACTGGGGAGACCCATGGAGAGAAGACAAAATATTTTACCAAAACCATCAATCCAACTTAGCCTCCCAGAGAAGGTAAAGGTTTATATTTTATCTGACTCTCTCAATATACACTAGCATTGATATTCTGCTGGATTGTATTCATTTGAAGTTTAACTAAGACCATAACTTTTGTTATGGCTGACTGTGGGTCATCATAAATTAGGAAAAACTGTGAGGGACATGTCCAGGTTGGTGATCAAGGCAACCTGAGCGACACAGGCGAGGCATCATGGTCAGAGATTACCAGGAATGGGAGAGCCAGATTGTGGTGTCAGTCTTGGTCTGTATTAGATCAAATTGTAGCAAAGAAAAGGAGATTCTAACAAGATAAGGTGACACCTCAAAGGAATATCCAGAGGGCACAGGCAGGACAGGATTCCAACAAAACCATGAGCAAAAGCTGGAGTTCAAGATTTGAGCCGGGCATGAAGCAAGAAGTAAAGAGAAAGGTAAAGAAGTAGATCCTCAGAATTAAGATTGGCAGGGTACCTGCAGCATCATTGTTTTTCATAGATGGGCACTGCCACTCTCAACTATGATTTTCATCTAACTTTCTGGAAGGATCAGATAAGTGCTAGCTAGTACATATACTCCTCCGATTATACAGTGCTGTGCATTCACTATCGATGTAGTCCCCAGAAATTGCTGAATTTGAAAATCTCTAAGGCAGATTTTTTTTTAATTTAGTAAAATCTAACCTGCATTTTGGAAAGCATATAAAACTTATGTATATAGCTCAATACGTTTTCACAAAGTAAATACACCTATATACCACTACCAAGTAGAGAAGAACATTATCAACACCTTAGAAACGGTACATAGGTCCACTACTACCTCCTCACAGAAACCATCATTCAGCCTTCTAACACCAGTGAGTAGTTTTGGGTATTCTTAAAATACACGTAAATATAGTCATATACTCTTTTGTCTGTTGTGTCTGGTTCATTTTGCTTATACAAACATTTATACAATTACTTACATAGTCCTCCAACTTTGTCTTCTTCAGAATGGTTTGGGCTATTCTTAGCTAGGTGTTTCCATTTAAAATTACCTTATCAATTTCCATTTTAAAAACTTCTAAAGCAGCCTTGCATTTAGTAGATAAATCAATTAAGATTGAGGAATTGAAATCTTATGTTATTGAACTTTCCAATATCTAAAATAGTCTCTCACTCCATTAATGTATGTCCCTGCATTTGCTTAAGACCTCTTAAATATCCCTTAACATTTGCTTAAGACCTCTTATATATATCCTTTAATAAGGTTCTTTAGTTTTCTGTGTGGTTTTCTATACATAAGCACTCTGGAAGTGTTGGTGTAAAGCCAGTGCTATTTATTGTTTTAAATATTTGGAAGAAATCATTGGGGAAGCCTTCTAGATCTAAAAAATTACTTTGTAGAAGAGTTTTTAAATTATAGATTCAATTTATATAATACAGCTTAGATTTTTTATTTCTTCCACAAGCAGTCCAGGCAAACTGATATTTTTACCTAAATATTTTCTTCACTTAACTGAATATTGACATTTGTTAGCAGGAAAGATAGTTTTTTATAATATATTTTTAGGTCATTTGAAATTTTATAGCATATATGGTACTGTACCTTTACATTTCTGATACTGGTAGGTTGTCTTCTCTCTTTTTCTGATCAGTCTTGATAGAAGATTTTGTTAGTCTTTGAATTTTATTAGTCTTTTCAAAGAACCAGATTTTGGTTTTCTCACTTTGGAAATATTGGATTTCTTATTTTATTAATTCCTGATATTACTTTTATTGCTTTCTTCCACTTTCTTTGAGTTTATTCTTCTTTCCTTAACTTCTTGACCTGTGTTTGTAATTTGCAACCACTTTGCTAATTCATTAATTTAAGGATACAAATGTTCTTTAGGCACTTTAACTGTTTCATACAAGGTTTGATATATCATGTTTTCATTATCATGTAGTTAATTTTTTAAAAAAATTTCCAATGTGGTTTATTCATAATTGTCCACACATATTTAAGTTTATGGATGATAATTCCAACATATGAATCTACTGTTACTCTTCTTGCTCTGTTCCTTAATATGCCTAGTCATTTTATTAACTAGACATGGAAATGAAAAATTGTAGAGACACAGAGGTGGATGCATATTATAATACATTTGGCAAAACCCATAGAGTGTACGGCACTCGGAGCAAACCCTAATGTGAATGATGGACTTTGCGTGTCTGTAGGTTCAATTATTTGTAGAAAGTGTTCTACTCCCGTGCAAGTCGTTGATAGTGGGGGAGGTTGTACAGGTGTAGGCACAGTAGATATATGGGAGCTCTCTGCACTTTCTGTTCAATTTTGCTGTGAACTCCAAATTTCTCTAAAATATAAAGTTAATTAATTTAAAATAATTATGGATACTCCACATGATGTTATCTCCCTCCAGAGAGGATTCTCCTTATCCTCTAGCGGACAATAAGCAAGCAGATTGTCTCAGTCTAATCAGGGACTAAGCTGACTTGACTTGGTTTTCTGGTCTGCCACTGGTCACCATCATCACCTCACTCACATACTTTTTAGTTTAAAGCCTTCCAAGGTTCCCAGTGGGGGCTCTTCATTCTTTTGGGGTCAGGAACCCCAGTCATCATTTCCCCATTACAATGAAATTGCCAAAATCGCCACTCTAGTTCTCAGGTGATTTCTGCTGTGATTCTTATCTATTCAATCAGCAAATGCCTAGAAGGGAAAATAAGTCACTCAGTAGCAATCTGACTTCTTTGTACTTTCTTTCTCTACAGGATCTTGGCCTCTCAATTTATCCCTCCTTTCACAATTCTAGACTTTTTTTTTTTTACTCCCAGCCATGTGATATGTGATTGCTTAAAGTTTTGCCAGCCTCCTTGGCCACTTATGCATAACTAAGAAGTAGGAAATGTCCCAAGGAGAAATGTGGCATGTGTTCACATTGTTCTCATTCAGTGAATGTCCTTTCTCCCCACATCATACCCTTTATGTCCCAACTCTTTCACTATCTTATGCATTCAGCCATGTGTGTGTGTGTGTGTGTGTGTGTGTGTGTGTGTGTATACTTAATGTGCATGTGCGTACGTATAGAATTATATGTGGCCTTATTGTTCAATAGTAACTATAAGCTACTTAATTTTGGTGGAAGGGGAACATACTCATTTTCTATTGCTGCATAACAGATTACCACAAACTTTGTGGCTTAAAACAGTCCATATTATCTTACCATTTCTGTGGGTCAGGAATCCTGGCCCAACTTAGCTGTGTCTCCATTTCAAGATCTCTCACATGCCTACATTTAAAGTATTGGCCAGGACTGGGGTGTTATTTGATGACTGGATTGAGAAAGAATTTGCTTCTAGACTCACATGATGTAGCAAAATTACAGTTCCTTGAGACCTATTGAGCAGGATCCTTCAGTATCCAGTCAACTGTTGGTGAGAGGCCACCCTCTTTTCCTTACTATGTGGTCCCATATAACATGGCAACTTGCTTCATCAAAGATATCTGCTGACAAGAGAGAAGTCACAGTCTTATGCAACCTGGTCAGAAAAGGGGCCCTATCACCTTTGCTGTGTTCTACTGGTTGAAAGCAAGACACTAGGCCAATACTTCCTCAGTGAGAGAAGGCTTTACAAAGGCCTACATACCAGAAGGTGTGGATCACTGGAGATCTTTATAGAAATATATCTGTCAAAGTGATATCACTGGGCAGAATTTAAAATTTTAGATTTCTAGATCACCTCTAATTTCAGAACTACCAAATCAGATTTTCCTGAAGCAAAGTCTAGTAACATGTTCATTTGTGTGTTTATTTGCTTTATTTGCTTTTTCACTAAGCATTCTTGGTGTTTCTCTTGATCAACCAGATTTAGGAGTTACAGGGGAGCCCTTATAGCTCTTAAGTGTGCCTTGCCTCATACCAGAATAAAGAATCTTGATAGAGCAAGATGTTCTTCAAAGACAACCCTACTTTTGTTGAAAATTTTGGAGGGTATGGGCTATTGTTAGCTGAGTTTGACAGGGATATGGAGTTGATTGTTTTTGCTTCTCTTTGTTTCAGAATAAGCAAGGACCCTTGTTCCTAAGGAAATGTGTGGTACTCCTGCTTTGGCAGGTTTGATTGGACTTATCCATATAGCTTGATTTGTTTTCTTCATTCAGTTTGGCACACAGTCCCTAACAAGCTAGGCAGGGACTAGTTTCATGAAAATTAGAAATATTCAGAAGATTATTCTATGTACATTTGACTAACCTTAAGGTTATCTACCGCCTTTTTAGCAAGGATGCTTAAAAAGTTACAAACTCATAAGTTAGGGATATAGCTCAGTGGTAGATCACTTGTCTAGCAGGTGCAAGATCTTGGGTTTGATCCCTAGCAACACACACACACACACACACACACACTCACACACACACATGAAAAGTTACAAACTCAGAGTTGAGGGTATAGCTCAGTGGTAGAACATGTGCTTAACATGTCCAAGGCCTTAGGTTCTATCTCCAGAATTGAAAAAAATAATTACAACTTCTAGGTCCTTCATTTCTGATCTTAAAATAGCCATATCCTTTAAATCAACTGAGTTTCCTTCTGGAATCTCTGTGGGGAATTCTAGGAAATGTAATCTCTGTGGGGAATTCTAGGAAATGTAAGGATCTAAGCAAAAATAAGTTGTAAAAGGAAGAATGGCCTAATAGCCAGAGGGTGGGGGGGAGTCATTTAGAAGAGAGAAGAAATGAGGCTCTAGAGTGGGGTTCAAGATCTAGTTCAAGGTTTTCAGACAGAGTAGAAGATGCAGATGTGGGAGTTAAAAGCATCCCACAGCTATCAAGGGCCAGCCAGATCCTCTGGGACTAAACTTTTTACCAGTGTGTGCTCTTTCAGCTGGTTCCTACTATGACATAAGAGCTGGGGACCAGGGTGATGTGTGGAGTCTTTTTTAGTTCAGAATTTCCATTTAAAAGTGTTTAGAAACCATACGCTTCACAATAATTGAGTTTTGAATATCTGTTAATTCTTGTTTCCAAAAAAAAAAATCCTTTTATCAAGCATTTATGAAGAAAGTGCAAATGCCAAGATGGACAAAGACTCATAACTCTTTTGCTCTCTGGGAATTACTGAATCACTATAATTTCAAGACCCATTATGAGAAGTTGATATTCTGACTTGCCATTTTTCACAACACATAGACGTTCAGTTTGTCCTTACCCTGGTTGTCTGGTTGAGTCTCAGGGGTGTTTGTGTTCCAGGTCATGATCTTGCTATGCAATCAACAGAGTTTCATCTGCACGCATGTGGACTACTGTCATCCACACTGCTATCTGCACCACAGCCGCTCCTGTGCCCGGCTGGTCAGGGCCATTAAGCTGCTGTATGGAGACAGCGTAGACTCCCTACGGGAGAGCAGCAACACCAGCAATGTGGCTCTGCGGGGCAAGAAACAGAAAGAGGTGAGTGAATGATCACATTACTGATAATATAACAAGACAGGGAAAACTGTAGCCTAACAATCTTCCCTAGCAATAAAAATTTTCAGGAAACTGCCGTGGTACAAACCAGCCTACGGGTTCTCTGTGCTTCTGCATAAAGGTAGACAATAAGTGCAAGACAAATGCTTTGTCTTCATGTTCACAAGAAAACATGGACTCTTCCCCAGGTTTTGCCTAATTTTTGTAAATAAATATGAATTTACAATGGTTGTGGTGATAAGTAAGTTTTTGTGGTAGGCAGAATAATGCAAAGATGTTTGCATCTACTCCCTGGAACCTGTGAATATGTCACCCTATATGAAAAGAGACTTCACAGGTATGATTAGGGATTTTACCAAGGGGAAATTATCCTGCATTATGCAGGTGGGCTCAATGTAATCGTAAGGCTTTATAAGTATAGAAAAGCCTAAGGGATTCAGAGGCAGAGAAGGAGATGAGATGGGAGAAGCAGAGGTCAGCATGATGCAGGCCACGAGCCAAAGAAAACCAGCACCTCTAGAAGCTGGAAAAGACAAGGAAATGGAGCATCCCTGGGGCCTCCAGAAGGAATGCTATCCTTCTACTCCCATTCAGATTTCTGACAACCAGAACTGCAAGATAATAAATCTGTGTTTTAAGCCACAAAGCTTGTGGTAATTTGTTACAGCCACAATAGGAAGCTAATGCAATTATGTATTATGAAATAAGCCCTAAATGGCCCAACTGTTCACAGAAAAATAACAGAATAATCTAAGTCAGATCAGCCTAAAGGAAATTCCTTCAAGAAACTATGACATTTTCCAGGCATTCAGCTGCACTCTCCTGACAACCCTGAGCAGCTGAGCTGGCAGAAGATGAAGACAGTAACCAGGGCTGCTGTTTTCCTGCCAGCAAAGCCTTGAGTTGCCCACCTGCCCTGATCAGGCATGGTAGCCAAGATGCTTAACTTGAATGCTGTGGCTGCCCCTGCAGCTGCTTTCCCCAAATGGTTTTGCTAAGAGATTTTTCTATAACACCTATTCATTTCAACAAGCATTCATTATGCACCTGCTGTTGGCACACTATTAGGCCAAATATTTTTAAAAAAATGTAAGTAGGAGCAAAGGCTCTTTCTACTAAGGGATTCACAAGCCAGGTTTGGCCTGGAATTGGGCAATAATATATACATCAAATAACTAGAGATCACAAATAATAAAAACAAAAATGTGGTTGAGTTCTGTACAATTTATAATGCTTTAGCATTCACAAATGGATTTTTTAAATTATAACTTTTAAAATATAAAAACAATACGTGATCACTGAAGAACTTTTGGCTAGTACAAGAGATCCTAAAGAAAAATAGTATGTATCACATAAGAATGCAGTATTAGCTTCTGGGACATGCTTATTTAAATATTTTTTCTAAATATATATATGAGGGCAA